TTAGTGCTCACGCCCCCACGTATTTCATGTTTTTCAGGTCACAGAGTCGGGGACGAGGAGTGAGCTGACGAGCCGTTCAGGACATTTGTTATTATGTATATATTATGTTTGGGCAACACTAATATTTCCTCTACATTTTTCAGTACTCTAAACCAGTTTTTGACCCGACGTTAGTCGGTTAAAATATTTTATAACCGTTTTATTATTAGATTAAAATTAACGGTTTTCAGATGAAGTCAGATTTTACGGTAGCACTCCGAATCAGATTTCGCAAAAAGAAATATTTTATTCATTTTATTTAGAAAATTTGCGAAAAAATGCACTCTGAATTTCAGTAAATAGCGGGGTGTTACAAGATTAGTAGGAGATATATTTCCTACATTGGATTATTAATTGGAGTAGAATTAGGATTCCTAATTGGGAATTAATTTTATTCCATAATTACTAATTTAGTTAGGAGAAGAATATTCCTACTAGAATCTTCTCTAGTGTTAGGAGACTAAGGAGTCTTCTAGAAGAGGCAGATTAGTAGGAGATTTCTTTCCCACATTCGATTGGTAATTGGAGTAAAATTAGGATTCCTAGGCCTAATAGGATAAGCCCATATTTAGCACCTCCTTAAGGTGCCTAATGGAGCCTATAAAGACACCATGTCCCAACCTCTTGAATGTATGTGTGTTGGCTGATTTTTCTCTCTACATACACGTGAGAAATAACATCGTTCGAGAGTTAGAGAGATTCGATTAAACGCTCCACCAAGTTTAATCGAAGTAGGTGTTTAGGTAATCCGTTAGAAGGCTTTTTGGTACAATATATTCGAGACTTTTATTACATATATTTTTCGGTCATCTTCCCCAGCTCACAACCGCCGTTCGCCGTCGTGAAACCACTGCCGGAAATCGCCGCCGCCGCCACCGGAAATCGGCGTCGTCGCTGGAAGTCAGCCAGGCCCAGTCGATCACCAGCGCAAGCCGCCGCTCGAGTTGCACCCAGCCAGGCCCATCGCCGAGCTCCCAACAACGACCGCAAGCAATACCCGCCAGCGCCAAGTACCACCCGCGAGTTGTTCCTGCCGCCCGCCGCTGTCAGTCGTCGACTGCGCGAGGTCCCAGTGCGCAACAACTACGCACGTGCTATTCCTTGTGCCCCCAGGAGACGCGTCCCACACGCCCACGTGGTCCTAGATGTGCTCGCCCAGTCCGCAGCGGCATAGGATTGCCGCAACGCACACGCGCGACAACCCAGCGCGCCCCTGCTGCCTTGCTCCACACGCCGCGTGTGTGCAGACGCCCAGCGCCAGTCCGCGTAGGCATAGGAGTCCCACCAGCACACATCCGCGACACGCACACCCTGTTCGCAGCGCCCGACGCACATTCCTAGCGACCCGCGCGTTACGCCAGCGCCCGCAACCAACGTCCGCACCTTGTCCGCTGTAACCCGACGCCAAGACACAACCACCGTGCGATCAAGCTTCGTTGGAAATTTCTATTAGAATCGAATAAAGGCCAAATCTATCTGCCAATTAGATTGTGGTGTTCAGACGAACTACATCAACGGTATTCAACATCGTCTCTAAGTCGGCAAAAATTTTAAAAGGTAATGTCCATATCCTAACTATAGATTCTGCTGCGTTAGGATTTATTTCGATAAGTTCAATACTGTGCATGTTGTTTGATGTTCCTCATAGAACCCAACAACTGGTATAAGAGCCAAGGTTTAATTCAACCTCATGCACAGTTTGAATTTGGACTTTGCCTGTTTACATGAATCATGTGCGTACGGATGCAGCGGCATAGTAGATTAGAAATTGCAATAAGTTTTGGATTTCGAATCCGACTATTGTGGCCCGTATGTATGGATTTTAATTCATGTTGAATGTATGTTGTTTTTAATTCCTCGGATTGTAACACCCCACCTTACTGTATAAATCAGAGTTGCGCATTTATTCGCAAAGTTTTTGAAAACTAAAACATTTTTACTTTGCGAAACTGATTTGGGGTGCTACCGTGAAAAATCCTTACTTAACTTAGAAAAACCGTTGTTTTAATTTAATAAAAACGTCCGGTTACTGAAACTTTATTTTCTGAAAAGTTCGTCAAAATACGATGAGTTCGTCAAAATATGTCAAAACATCATCATAAGTCATCAAAAGTCAAGCGGAAGCGTAAATCATAGTTATATAGTCCAAAACATATATATAAATATCCTGCAAGTCCCGAAACGCCCCGTCACGTCATGCTCCCTTGCCGACATCCTGACCTGAAAAATAGGATAAAACTGGGGAGTGAGCACT